TGCCAGGTCTAACTCTACTGCCAGTAATTTTTCCCAGGTCCTATAATTTTGTGTGTTCTAATCAATATAAAAGCATAAGGATTTTTTCCTCTAAGACTAGGCTGGCATTTTTTATGGGTTGCATAACTAATGAATCAATAAATTCCTTTGCAATAATTTGTAGCAAATTGCTCCCAGCTGCTAGGCATTGATCTGAGTAAGTTGGATATACTCATTCATCTGATTAAGTTGGAAAGTATATCAGGCACACACCATTAAGTTAGGATTCATGAAATGGGGTGGAGCTACTTACTTGTGCTAGGCACCCATGATTAAGGAACTCAAGACTTTGTCAGGTAGGAAGAGGAGAGTTGGGGGAAGAGGCTCAATGAAGTATAAGTGAGAATACTGTTATAAAATGCATTACTTTGAGTGAGAATTAAAAATATAAATAAGTAAAATTGGGTATACTCACAAGATTATAATTTACCAAAATAAACACAATAAGAATTAGAAAGAAACTCATCATAGTCTGCCTTTTTTAGATGCAAATCTGCTGCCACTATCTTCCTGAGAAAGTTTGGCAGCAATGAAGACTCAAAGAGTTTGAGGGAAAATGACAAAGTTCTGCCTAAACTGGGAACTACAACCTCCTAGCAGGAGAGGCTAGCCTACCTATCTTCAGAACTCAGTCTCACAGATGGAAAGTGTCATTGACTTCAAACAGCAGACTCTAGCTTCTACTCTGAGAAACCACTTCTTTTATTATCACTATGATCTAAAAACAAAAAAAAATTCTTAGCCATCTTATGGAGAGGAGAGAGTACCTGGATTAAATTTTATATTAGTGTCTTATATATGCTAAGGAGTTGTAACATCTAGCTAGCTCCTGTTTAACCATTACTTTCTTTTCCATTTTTAATATTTTATTTTGTATATGTGTGGTTTGCCTGCATTATGACTATGGACCACATGCAAGCAATCCCCGTGGAAGCCAGAAGAGGGTGTCAGATCCCATGGGACTGCAGTACAGATGGCTGTAAGCTACCACATGGCTGCTGGGAACCTAGGTCTTCTCAAAGAGCAGTCAGTGATTTTAACTGTTGAGTTACCTCTCTAGTTCCCCATGTAACCATTTTTAACTTTAATATTAAAATGTAATGTGGGTTGGAAAAAAAGAACAGAAGTACATTTGACAAAGGCCAAAGAAATATGTACAGACATAAAGAATAAGGAAAAGTCAAGGACCACGATGGAGTTTAATTAGAACACATTCCGACTTGAACTCAATTTACGTTTTCTACAGGACCTGGCTGCTGTTAGAAAATTGCTGTTTTCAGACCCTAAGAGAGGCATACAGGGATCAAATGTACATGGGAAGTAGAAAAAGACAAGATCTCTTGAGTACATTGGCAACATGGAAACCCCGGGAGAGGGTAGAAGGGGAAGGGAGAGGAAGGGAGGGGAACAGAGAAAAAATATATAGCTCAATAAAACAAAACAAAAAAATTTAAAAAAAAAAGAAGAGAATTATGGTTTTCCTAGAACTCTGACTTCTGAGGCTTGTTGTAAATAACACTTCATATATTATCAGTACAGATAAATTGACGTTCCAAAATTAAGCCCTCTTAGAGTTACAGTTTAACTTAGACTCATGATTTAAAGCTCTCATTCAAAATCACAAGGAAAGAACAGAGAGATAACCTGGAAAACAATGCAAGATTGGGTTTCTGTAGCTGAACTGCACTAGGAGCTAAATGGATCACAATTTATTGGAGAGTTTGTTCTTAGAGGCAAAGGGAAACTCTTTTCCTAAATCATCATGCTGTGTTCTCTCATGACAAAATAAACCAAAGCCACTTGCAGGAAATGGCAGTCACTGTCTTTCCTTACAATGTAAGGTGTAGGCATAAGGGATGAGGCAGAAAGAATGGGAAGATCATGAGGAGGAAGTGAGAGAGCAGGAAAAAAAGAATCACTGAGTTCAATGGGAAATAGAGGAGTAAACCCAAGTCAGCACTGTCATTCTGAGATTCGCCTCGGTATAAAATCAAAGATAGTAATTTCTCCTTTAAAAACTTCATAGAACTCACAAATACCCAAGGGGGTACCAAGTATATGTGAGGAAAAAACTAATGTTGAATGACGATCAATGAAGGAGAAAAAACACAAATAGGAAACTGGTGTGGGACAATGGTCTGTATTCTATCAATTATATATTAAATAAATGCTGATTGGCCCGTAAGCAGGCAGGAAGTATAGGTGGGACAACCAGACAGTAAGTAGAGGCAGGCAACAAGAACAGGAGAATTCTGGGAAGAAGAAAGCTTATTCCACAGTCCTGTCCCAGCCACAGAAGAAGCAAGATGTGACTGTCCTGCCGAATAAGGTACTGAGCCATGTGGCTAACATAGAAAAGGATAATGGGCTAATATAAGTTATAAGAGTTAATAAGAAGCCTGAGCTACCAGGCCAATCAGTTTATAGTTAATGTAGACCTCTGTGTGATTTCTTTGGGACTTAATGACTGTGGGAACTGGATGGGACAGAAAACTCAGTAAACAGGAAATTGTTGGTGTTAAAAATAAGTTTGCTTCTGCCAGGCAGAGGTGGCACAAGCCTTTAAATCCCAGAACTTAGGAGGCATAGGCAGGTAGACCCCTGAGTTTGAGGCCAGCCTGGTCTACAGAATGAGTTCAAGGACAGCCAGGGCTACTCAGAGAAACCCTGCCTTGAAAAAGAAGGGAAAAAAATGAGTTTCCTGTGGATACATGCTCTCCTACAGAAGAACTAATGATCTCATACACAGTGTTTGTTTTGAATAACTCATTATACAAAGGTGCAAAGGGTCTAGAGTCTAAGAAAACAATCTCTCTATCCCCTAAAGATCGTGCAATTACAGCACAGCTGGTATGATAATTTCATTAATAACCTGGAGTCTAGCATACCGCTAATGCCAAATTGCAAATTGGTTATGAATACTATTTCTCCAGCTTGCTAACTAGAATATATTATTTAATTTTTGCTTTATTTTAATTCCATTTTGTTTTATGAAACACCACATGGAGTATAATCTAAAAAGAGTTAGAAGAGTTCCCACATATACAATTCTGACATACCACTGAAGAACCAGCAGCTTTCTTTGTGGCTCAAGAAGTATAATGAACAAGTTAAGATGATGCTGTATGAAGCACAATGCAAAACTACAAAGAGCTATTTCACGTTGAAGAAATACTATTAATCTTAGCTGGAGAGGAGAACGCATGTAATAGACAACCAAGAAAGGGTTTGTGAAAATAGATCCTAACTTCAGGGTTTCGGCTTTAGAAAAATAATCTATCAGTACTTTCCAGGGTAGATAATTCAGCAATTTCACAGCTGTAAAATGAATGTCTTGAACTGTAAGGAGTCGAATAAGGAATGTGTCTTGAACATCATTCAATTAAGTGCCATTTCACTGGCTTGTGAAGTATTTGCCAGCATCTTTAAAGCCAAAAAGAGTGGTAGGTGGCTCAAGACAGCTGGCATCTTTGGCCCCCATGGACTACCTGGTTTATTCCTAAGAATCTCCAGGACAAAGACTGCTGTTTCGTGTGGTAGCTTTCTCTGGTGTTCAACTGCCTGACAACAGGCCCACTTCAGCCCGAGTCCTCCTGTTCACCGTGGAAGGTCTCCACAGAACACTATTTGATTTTCCCAGATAAGAAAGGCCGGTGATGCTGTATTTCCTGGTTAATTCTTTATTCTTTGGGTTTCTTAGTAACCACAGAAGGAAATGAGTAATTCTACAATTATTCTTATGTCCCTCTCAGCCTTTAATTATGAAGTAGGCTTTTTCACAAACCTTTCAAGAATATCCTGAGATGTATATCCTAAAGTAATTCCCTATTTGTTGTGGCAATTACAGTGTGCAAAGGGTTTATAGATTTTGAGGGAGAATGGTTTAGCTTTTATTAGAGAAAAAAACATAAATGCATTTTTCCGTATTTTAAATATCTTAAATATTCCCTCAAAATCCATAAAATCAGGGAATAAATCTGATTTGACACAAGCAGGGAACAGGTCACCACTTTTGCAAGATAATTACAAACAACTCATCTACCAAACCCTGGTCAGAATTTGACCCCGAAGCAGCTGTAGCTCAGCCACTCCTGTGCATCACCTCTCCAGTTCCTGTCTGTGGCAGGACAGCTCACGAAATGACATTACTGTGTGGGAAAACTAGAGCAAAGTTTCCCTAACCAGTCTTTAGGCCTAAAGAAAACTCAAAAGACAAGTTCTTGTTGACAGCTATACTTGGATTCTGGTTAGGCCATTTCTTCATTGGCCATGACTGGAACCCATGCTTGGCATTCAAATCATGCCCCAGGGTCTGCCACACAGGGCAGGCATGTCAACAGCTGAAAATGCAAACATCCTTAAAAAGTTCCTTTAAATGGGAATGTTGTCCCTGATAGAGTGCTGAGATATACCCAAGTCACACTGATAATTTGAAGAGATTCCTGACACAGAACGAGAACCTGATGCTCTTAAAAACATATGTAAACAAAGCACTTTTTTCAAATTTAACAAAGTATATTACTGGAGTAATCTGGGTAGTTTTATTTTGTTTGGGTCCATACAGATGGTAAATAATAATGTCTGCTTCTCAGGCAAAAAGAAGGTTTGCACAGCTCCAGAACCTGTTCTCTTGCAGACTCATCAGATAAAAGTATTATTCAGTTAGTGGATTTTTCTAAACAAAATCTCAAAATTCCCAGAGAGCTCTGGAGAGTGGCAGCATGACCACATGACCATGAGTAAGACACCTGAGTACATCTTTAGGAGCAAATGTAGAGACATGATGCAAAGATAGAGGCTAAGGAGAATTAAGGGGAAAGAAAGGAGAAAGGAGCAAGACAGTTTTGGAAATCAACCTGCAATTAGACATCCCTACTGCCTCCATTCTAACTCTAATCAGGGTAACTCTCTAAGGGAGCTGAAGTTAGCAGAAGGGCATAAGAGGCGCGGCCACAGCTAACCTTTGCTGGTTTTAGTCGATTCTGAGGACATGTTTCCAGTCTTCTTCTTTTTCCTTGGAATAGATACACATTTCCGGTCAAATGTAAGAGGACTATATTGAGGGAGGCTGTTGAATTTCTTTTCAAATTCCTCATCCAGCTTTGCAGAACTATTAGGAGAGAGGGGAGTCAATTAGCAAAGGGTCAAATATTTAAACAGAAACTGATACATGATATATTTTTAGGTACTTCAACTTGAAAACAGGGTCCCTAGGAATTAGGGCATTAAAAAAATCCATGCAAGGAAAAAAAGAAACACCTTTTTGGAAATTCTTGAGAAGACATCAACATAAATCCACACTCCTTAGAAAACACAGAATGGTTGAAGTACAAAATTTGACATTCTCTCTACTGGCATGGTTCAGCCTCATAAAATTAGACACAAGGTGTATCTACTCAGACAGATCTCATTCTAAAAATTCATATGAATGCTCATGCATTAGCAAGTTTACAGGTCATATGATATATTGAGAGTATTATAAGTGGAGTCTTAAAAATGATTGACCAGTGATTGTTTAAAACATACACAAATTTTAGAAAGCATATAAAATTTGAATGTTAGAAAAGAAATTCTAGAGTGTTGACTAATGAGGAACACTCAGCTAGCAAAGTAAATCCAGTTTTGAAAGGCTGGCAAAAGAGGCAATACCACTTTAAATGAAAACCACAAATGACTGGCAAAGGCAGGGAATCCTTGGGATGGTTCTGTCTCTAAGGGCCCCGCACAGCAATGGCAGCATGCCTGCTGGATCCTAGGCTAGCTGCTGGCTTTTGTTCAATGAGAATTACTAACAAAGATACACTGCAGACAGCTGGGTGAAGCTACAGAAGCTTGGGAGACAGGAAATGGAAAGATTGGGGAAGAAGACTTCCCAGATACGTACTCCCATATCCATGACTCTCCTGAGACAGATTTTCAAAGGCTATTGCATTTACCCTGTTTCTCAGCAATGTTGAGGTATCTCTTATAACTTGGCAGTTTAATCGATCAAGTTAGGTTTGGAGACAAGGTATTTCTGTGTAGCTGAGACTGACCTGGAACTCCATATTTAGCCATTTTGTCCTTGAACCCATGATCTTCATGCTTCTGCTTCCAAAGAACTGGTATGGGCATGTGCCTCCATGCCAGCAAGCCTGGCTGCTCAGAGTGGAATCATCAATTTCACTGGCAAGCTTGCTGCTTATTATTACCACTTTAATGAGTGTGTGCACGTGTGTGTGTGTGTGTGTGTGTGTGTGTGTGTGTGTGTGTGTGTGTGAAAGTTAGGGGACTACCTCAGGTATTTTTTTAAGAGTTATCCATCTTGGTTTCTTTGAGACAGGGAGTCTTATTTGGCCTGGAGTTTGCTAATTAAGTCCAGTTGGTTAGCCAGTGCACTCCAGGATCCACCTGTCTCTGACTTGCTAATGCTGGGTTTGCTACCATGACAAGGTTTTCTTCTTTCTTTTTTTTCTTTCTCTCCTTCCTTCCTTCCTTCCTTCCTTCCTTCCTTCCTTCCTTCCTTCTTTCTTTAGAACATGGGCTTTGGGATTGAACTTGGGTCTTCTTGCTACAATGGTAAACACCTCAGCAGCTCAGCTACCTCCCCAGCTTTCATGCTTGCTTACTTTATTTCCCTATATCTGTCTGTCATGAGCTGCCTCCTATCCTGGCTTGGTAGTCAGACCACAAAGTCCAGGCACGTCTTTGTGATATGCATAGTATTATCTAGAGATGTCTTAGGATCACTTTTTTTTTTAATTTAAAGAATCCTACATTTGAAAGTATCATTTAGGAACAACAAATGGAGACTTTTCATACCATTACTTAAGCATAAAGTACATAAAAATAATTTGAAATATTTTGGACTTTTAAAATACTAGTACTAAAACTACTAACTATATTATTTCAATATAATATTGAAATATATGTATTTTAAGATAATCTTGTACCATAAGCCTCTACCTTTCCCCTCTATGATGCCCTGAAGTCTCAGAATTAACCAGACTTTAAAGCACTTTATTTACAAGAAAAATATTCTATTTTCCACAAATAAAAATGAAATATTGTAAGTACAATATATTCAATGCATAAAATTTGCTTACTTATAAAAATATAAAAAATACGGAGAATTATTTGTATTCAATGTGTTTTCTTCAAATTAGGCTAATGTGAAATCTCAAAGTACTTTCAAAACAGCACAAGTGAATATGCACATTTCTTACCAATATAAAGGACCGTCCCTACCAACTTACTAACAAAACCCTTTATATTGGTTGATTTTAGGTGTGTTGGCATAACAGCAATCATGAAATAATAATCCTAAGTAACTTTATAGTGATATGTGCCATTGCTTCCTCAGTACCACATTTCAATACATAATATATATTAGAATTATTTTTCTTAGAGTAACAGGTTTTTTAAATAAACCAATATTATAATGATAGCATAATTTATTTACCTCATATTGTCCAGCTATCACTGTTTTATAAACATGTATACCTATACTTAGAAATATTAAACACACTAAAATGTAAACAATGGCATAAAAAGTGCAAAATGTAAACACACAAATAAAATTCATCTTAAGCTCCAGATGGCAACATGGGTCCCAGAAATTGATAGCAAAATATCCACAGTTACTACACTACTGCGCTGTGGTGGACCTCGATCAAACTCAGGCCCAAGCTTAAAATGTGTGTAGTTTGTACCATAGCTAAAGTGCAAATGACATTACCATTCATATGGCTGGTTAAGAGCAGGAATCAATAAGACCCCTGATCTGTTTTCAATAGGGAGCTTATTAAGACAAGGGCTAACAGAAACAAAACAAAACAAAGTTAGTACCTCAGGCTTACTTAATACTCTTGCCATAGTAGGTTACGCAGTAAAGGTCGCATGTGCTCATAGGCACTTACCCAAGGAAGGAGTCTTCCCTTAGCTTCTTCTTAAACTTCTTGCTCCCACTGGTCCCACTCTGGTTAAATGTCCAGCTCTCTTCACTCCAACACCCTTCATGATCAGAGGAATTTCCTTTTCCTGAGCTCCGTTTCCCTAGGAAACCCAAGTGAAGGGGTTTGCTCAGAATACCAGGGCCAGAGATCAGCTCAGGTCCTTCGCAAGTGACTTCCTGGCCCTTTACCTATCGTTTCCATGATTCTATTTGTAGCTATCAGTACCTGGAATGACTCAGGTTGGACTGCTTCTAATCTGGGAACTGTAGAGAACAATCTTCCCTCTGAAGTAAGCAGTCCAGTCCATTTGAGAACCAGCCTCAAGTGCAAGTCTGTGGCTAATAGACAATATTAATTCTACATTTCTCAAGACTCACTCAAGACATCCCTGAAGAATTACATCCTCCTAAGCTCTCTCTACTCAGGGCTTATTTGAATAGAGTTCACCAAGAAACAGTTCCCTAGGCAGATGCTTCAAAATAAACACAGATAAAATACTGTGTAGAGGCTACCATGCTTTAAATAACACTTCATTTTTAGTTTTGATTGCCCAACAAAAGAGCTAGATAGGATATTTGCTTTTGGAGCCTACAGGTAAAGATTCTGCCAAATTTATTAATGTCATTCAGGAAATTCCATCAATTTAAGTAGTTAATCTAACTGTGCCATTTAAAACTGATGAAGCCAGCCCATAACAGAGAAACAAAAAAAGTAGTAGTTTGGAATTTCTTTATCCTGATTACTTACAAAACAAAGCAAACCTTTCCTTTAAGTGTTCTTTCTAGGAGGTACACAGGTAAAGTGAAACGGATATGATACATGAACGACTCATACAAGGGACTAGTTTGATGTTCCACTGTTCATGATGTTTTTTTTCAGTAGGTCTAAAGGGAAGACTCTGCAAGGCCTGGTAGTCCTTTCAGGTTTAAAGACGTCACTTACCTCTGTCAACATTAGCTCGCAGCGAGGTGAGCATGCCCTCTGACACCAGGGTTTTATAAAGAGCACCTTTGCAAGACCTCTCCGATTTCCTGGAGCCACAGGTCTCCGTTTTTCTGTGACAGTCACTGTCCTCAGGCTTGGTCTGTCCTGGTAGGCTAGGTGGCAGTGCATCCTCTGTGGGGGTCAATGGCTCTGCTTTTATGCCCTCTGGCCCCTCCCCAGGAGCATTCTTGCTAGCAGAAATATTAAGGAAATCTGGAGGTCGTGATTCCTTGATGATGTCTGAGCACTTCTCCTTGGAAGCCTTCTTCTCTTTTGATTTCACCTTTTTCTTTGGTGGCTTGGCATCCAAAATGCCTCCCTTGCCACTTGAGGAGGTGCGGACCTTCTTTCTTGGGGTTTCTCCAAGCTTGTCAACACCCCAGTCTCCTTTTGCAACAGCTTCTATGGTGTACATGACACTCTCGATGTCGGACTCCGAAGACTGCCTCTTCTTGCAGGTCTTCTTTGGTGTGGATTTGTCACTTCCGTGTCGATCCAGTTTGTTTTTCTTCTTTTTCTTTTTTATCTTTTCTGGTTTGTTTAGCATGGTGGGGTCCTCGATGAACATAATTCCGTGAGGGTGGCACATGTGATCTTTTCTACTGGGGACATCGCTAATAATTATCTTGCTGCTGGCAGAGTAAGAAAAATCAGGGAAGTGGCTGTATTTCTGATCATCCTCTGGTTCCTTTCTCATTTCTTTGGGGTCTTCCAATTTGACAGCCATTACATTATCCACTTGTAGCTCTTCAAAGTTTCTGAAGTCCTTAGACTCCCTTATATTTCCCTTAGATGGTTTCTCAAATTCTGCTTCTTTCTGGAACCCAGCTTCATTGTTTTTCTCCACTTTTATGTCTCTCTCTTCCTTCCCCTTTTCCATCTCTTTCATTCTTCCACCATCTGAATCTTTTGAATTTATTAGCTTTGTTTCTTCCATTTTCATCTCCTCTGATGCCAGACACATCTAAATAGTTAAAACAAGTGAGAAGAAAAACACCAAACATATTCATTATTTTATAATCAAAATTAGTTTTGACTTTTTAATCTATATCTCTTTTAGAAATTAAGAAAAGTTCCAAACTTTACAATAATCAGCTCACTTCTGCCAAACTAACTTCATTAAACTATAGATAAACATCCCTGCATAATTTTCTAGCATCATCAGCACTTATGAAAATTAGATTTGATAGAGAATGGATTCTAGAGTTTAAAGACAAACTTGGCTCTTAGTTGGAAACTTGTTTAGCTCAGAATTTCACTCCTAATTGTCGAGAACTTTATAAACTGGATATATCTTATCTTGGAGGCTTTTGTGAGGCTATGTGAGATGATATACTTATGTCAGCATAATCCCCGCACTCATTTCTGATATTTGGCCCCACATCCCAGAGAATAAGGAAAACAGCAGTAACTTCCACTGATCCACTTGAAATAAGAAATGTTATAATGATTCACTGAATTTCAATTAGTAAACATGCATTACAGGTCTATAGATGCCAACAGAGAGCTAGAGAAACACAGAAGCTCTGAAAACCTCTTTCTCTTTCTTTCTTTCTTTCTTTCTCTCTTTCTTTCATTCTTTCTTCTTTTTTTTTATCTTGTCTGGTGAAAAACCTAATCTGATTTGAACCTAGCTGTAGATTCAGAGCCAAAACAATGTAAACTATTTGTCATAAAGGGTTTATCACATTTACTTTTAGCACACTTACTGTATTTTTGCTACCTGAATATTCATGCATTTGAATATGTACTGGACAAAGTACACAGAACAAAGTCTATAATAAACTACATATTTACTATACATGTACACCTTTTTTCAACTTATTGGCAGGGCAGCAGTGGCGCACGCCTTTAATCCCAGCTCTCAAGAGGCAGAGACAGGCAGATCTCTGTGAGTTTAATGCCAGCCCGGTTTACAAGAGCTAGTTCCAGGACAGGCTCCAAAGCTACAGAGAAACCCTGTCTCAAAAAACCATAAATTCTTTACACATCTAGGACATTTAAGAGTAAAGCTGTCGCTGGTTGTGGTGGCACATGCCAGTAGGATTTGCTGAAGGAGGCAGAGGCAGGAGAATCATGAGTTCGAGGCCAGCCTGTACTACACATTAAAAAAAAAAGGGTAAAGCTGTTACCTTCATCTCCCAATCAACTTGAAGCTCAGACTATGTGATAAATGTGAGATTATAGCTATTGTAAACTATTTTCAATACCCCAGTTTCCACTCATGAACACTTAAGGAGGACACAAATGACATCAAAAACAACAGGGCTAGGTTTCTATGTTTGAGCAATTTACCAAGAGGCCAAAGATGCTGATGTGGTCAAGTGCAGCATAGGACAAAGCAGCTGTAACATATGTAATTTACTGCGCATTAGCAGCATGGGAAGACAAAGAGCACTGGGGCTTGCTGAGTCAGCACAAAATCAGCACAGGCCCAGGAAGCTCGTCTGTCTTACAGAACTACCATCTAGGACTATTGACAGATGGGAAACTCAGTTTTGAATGGGTAATACACTGGATTAAGTATCAGACACCTTTTTTCTCATCCCCCCCCCCTTAGTACTTTGAATATATTACAAACTTGGGTGAAAGAATTCTGTAACATTTGGACTAGGAAGGAACTGGACATGCTGGAGAGGCGGATATTGCCGCTTTTAAAGAAACAATGAAAAACACGATAAGAGCGCCCAGTACTTCAGACAGTTCCCAGGAAGATGTGAAATAAGAAAGAGGTGTGCAGAGCTGTCTTTCTCTAGACTCATGCATGTTAACTTTTAAAACTCAGCTAGTACCTAACCATGTACACTGGGCTCTTCCCTTTATTGTACTGAACCAGAAACACGCCTGAAGCACATGTTAACTTATGTTAATGCTAAAACACTGACATAATTACTCTTCCCTGCATGTTTTACTCTAATGAGCGAATTTTGACATGATTTTCCTTTTCAACTATTCTAGCCCTAGTTATTTATAAATTATCCCATGTGGGCTCCATATACTAGTTTTAGAAGTAGCTCAGAATGACATTCTCAAAATAAATGTAAGGTTTCTTTTGCCATTGTCACTTTGGTTGCCTTTCATAGTCGTGTCAGGGACTTTTCTCATCTAGGCAGAGGCATTTGCAGTGCTGGGCCAACAGTTTGCATCTGCAGCACAGATTCAACTTAGCAAACCTAATAGTATTTTGAAAACTCTATTCTCTGTTCAATATATTTCAAAATGATTCTCCTTATCACCCTTGATAGGATCCTAAGCTAGGAATGAAATGGAATACATACAGGCATTCACTCTGGGGACAGATTCTGGGAAATCGCCTAATATTTCTTGTGTGGTAATTACACCAAGTACTAGTTATGCTTTACTTCCTGATTTTAAGCTCTTAGAAGCTACGCCCACCCTCCTCCAATACAGTGTGTTAGTCCTAAATTATAAGAAATACAATTATATTGCTGGAGGTAAAATTATAAAAGTAAAACAAATTCTTCTATTAAAAACCACTAATCACAAATCTGATTTGTGACCAAAACCCAAATCTGAACCCAGACTTGAGAGTCACTAATAGAACCTTCTTTCCAATATAGGGCTCATGTTACACAGTGTTCTTGAGAGCTAACCAACTTCTGCACAAAGACAGGCAACATTTCTGTGTGAGGGGGCAGGTTTGTTTGAGAACTTTAATATTGAGCAAAAACTGATTACTCTATTTGTCACAGTTTCTAAAGTAAGACTAGATTTTACTGAATAAAACCGAGTTCCTAACCAAACATCGGAGCTTACCCAAAGTTACACAGTGAGCCAAAAGGGCTTAGATTTAACCATAAGAGCAAAAACAGTCTGACAAGTGGGTAACAGTACAAATTGGGGTTCTGTGAGGCAAAAAAACCAAACCAAAACAAAACAAAAAATCAAAACCAATGGGGCAAAATACTTGCTAATTATAAGAGCCCCATAATGACTGGGGAGAAGAGATATTTCAGTGTGGCAATACTCTCCTTAAATGACACTCAGTCTTCTTGCAGTACCAGAAAAGACACACAACTCTCAGTAGGGATAGAAGGTAGTTTTTAATGGTGCCCAGAGATGAAATCTTTCCTTTGATTTCTACAAATCCCAGATTTCCTTATCCATGTAATATGCTAGGAAGCTTGGTCACCTCAACTCTATATTTTTATTTTTATTTTTTTTTTTTTGGTTTTTCGAGACAGGGTTTCTTTGTGGCTTTGGAGCCTGTCCTGGAACTAGCTCTGTAGACCAGGCTGGTCTCGAACTCACAGAGATCCGCCTGTCTCTGCCTCCTTTTTTTATTTTCAAGACTCTCTGTAGCTTTTGGTTCCTGTCCTGGAACTAACTCTTGTAGATCAGGCTGGCCTCGAACTCACAGAGATCCACCTGCCTCTGCCTCCCGAGAGCTGGGATTAAAGGTGTGCGCCACCACCGCCTGGCTCAACTCTATATTTTAAAAATTCATGTTATATATCTAGTACCTAGGTGAATGACTTCCCGTTTCTCCTTGTAAACCCTACCCTATCGAAGTCTGAATTATCTTCCAGCTTTGTGTCAGCCACACATTTTTCATGGCTTGGCCTAAACCTTCAGTAATAATGCTGAGTAGGACAGTGACAAGGACATTGCCTTCTGATGAACTTCCAGACTCTTCATCGGCTTTGTTTTGAACATTAATAAGCCTCAGTCATCTAAGAATATCTTATAATTCCATTTCCTATTCTGATCAGAAGGCATACAATTAGCTTTCAAAAGTCTTGTTGAACCCTGGACACTGCATGCTGCATACCAACAATGACAACAACATTCTCTCAGCTTTAAAAAGAAAAGTAAACAATATTAACAACAGCAAATAGAAAATGAAGCTGGCTTATGCACTTAGTCAATATAAGTGAGTAGGCAGAAACAACTTACGGCATACTTAGCAGAGAGACCTCCATGCAGGGAACACGTTTATTATAACAGCTCATGAAAAATTACAACTAAACAGGAAATGGCAAGGAAACCCAGGGGTTAGCAACAGCAGGAAGGCTATGGCAGAGGCAAAAGGGGTAAAAAGACATTCCTGAAACCCAAAGGTCAGGTTTGGGGCCTCCCTAGAGGCAGCTGGTCCCTGGAAGAATGGTGTTTGGCTTTCCCAACATACAGTTCCTTCCCAGTTCCCTTCCTCAGTCTCCCATCAAGGTCTCTCAGTGGCTCAAAGGAGGTACAAGGGGACCATAAAGGAACAGAAGAAGGCAGTAGGCAGGTGCTGGGATGTCAGAGAACAGAGCAAACCTACTCTGAAACAGCACCTGTGACCATGGCCTTGGGCAGGGAAACTGTTAATTTCCAGTCTTCACCCTCTTGTTTACAAGTTTACAGTTTTAAATGTTTCTGTGAAATAATAGCCTACATTTATAAATGAAGCTTATTCTTTGAAAGTCAGAATGATTTTTCCCCATTTTGTTCAGAGTTGTTTTCTACAATGTGTCAAAGGTTACCAAAAGTGAGACAAATCTCATTTGCAAGGTCTTGCCATAGCCTACAGCGGAATTTTTCTATGTAGGAAACCCAAATTATTATCCTACCACCAGGTCGATCCAGAGTTACCACACATGGGCCTTTCTTCATGCACATGTTCTGATTTGAACATCATTGTCCTTACTCCCTCTCCACAACGACACAAAACAAAAATTATGTAGTTTCACTTTCTCCTGGATCTTTATAACTTTGCTCCCTCTAATTTAGACTAGCCAATTTCTTTCTTTAGTAAAAAAAAAAAAAAAAAAAAACTAAAAACAGCAGGGCTTTTTTTTTGCCATTTTTTGCATTCATAGCTCACACTGATTTTCATAATATATTTTAGAGTACTTTTTAACTGTTGATATAATTCTTTTCTATTTCTCCTTTGTTATTTGCTACACACAGTTCATATTCTGCTACAATATATATTCAGGGTTATCATGCATAAAAATATAG